TACCTCTTCTCTCCTCAAACCTCTGGACTTCGCTCTCAGCTGATGATCCTGCTTCCTACCTCAGTGAGGAAATTAAAACAACTGAAAGAGCGCTTCTGCAGATTCCCGTGAACACACCCACCTAATACTGCATCTACGCTCTGCCTTCAAGGCTCTTACCAGGGAAGAACTATCAGTGCTCCTGCCCAAGGCCACCCCCTCAGTCCCACACTTCACCCCACCCTCTCTCACTACTGAAAGCCTCACTCCAGCAGTTTTCCACTCTACTGGATCATTCCCTTTCATGCAAGTCCTATTGGCTGACAAGTATACAGAAGAGATATTTGGTATTTTCCTTTAAGGAAAAGACCTCTTTACACCACTTTTTCAAACTGTTCTTACTCCCCTTCTTTGCCCTGACCTTTGGCAATGTGGCTTTTGCTGTCACTACTGTGGCCTAGACTGTTCCTCCTGACTGCCAATAGACACGTTTGCTAACTTCAGGGGTCAATCTGTAGAGTCCTCGTCTTACTTCAAGAGCATCTAGACACCATGAATCTTTCCCCTCTCCTTGAAATGGTTTCTTCTCTTGGTTTAGAGGCTGCTCCACACTCTTGGTCTTCCTCTGGCCTCCCTGCTGGCTTCCTCTCTATCTCCGCTGCTGCCTCTCCTCACTCTACTGGACACGCCGGAATGCTTCAGGGCTCAGGCCTTTGTACTGTTCTCCTCTCTATCGACATGCACGCGCTCGGCGATCCTACCCAGTCCAGGCTAAAGCCATCTACAGGCCACTGGCTCCCAAATGCACTTCTGCTGTCCAGGACTGCCTCCCACGCTCCACACAGACAACAGCCAGCTTGTCATTTCCACATGATGTCAAGTAGACATCTCAAACATAAATGCCTAAAACTGGACTCAACATCTCTTCCCCCAAATCTGTTCTTCTGCAGATTCCTCCACTCGGTTTAGGGCAACGTCACCCTTCCCACCATTTGGGCCCCAAACTTGGCAGCCTCCCCAATTCCTATCTTTCTCTCACATCTCATATCTGATTCACAGTCAATCCTGTTGGCTCTACCTTCAACATTCACCCAGAATCTTATCACTTTTCATCACCTCCAGGGCTACCACTCCAGTCAAAGCCACCATCCCCTCTCATGGATTACTATAGCAGCCTCCTATCTGCTTTTCCTGTTTCTAACCTTTGCTCCCTAGTCTATTCTAAATACAGCAGCCAGAGCCTATTTTTGTCTTTAACAATTTAAAAAAAAATTGAGAGAGAGACAGAATGTGAGCAGGGGAGGGGCAGAGAGGAGACACAGAATCCCAAGTGGGCTCCAGGCCCCGAGCTGTCAGCACAGAGCCGGAGCTTGAACCCATGAGCCGTGAGATCATGATCTGAGCCAAAGCTGGACGCTTAACTGATGAGCCACTCAGGTGCCCCAGTCTCTTTTTTGTTTTTAACCTTTTACTATGGAAATTTAAAAACCTATATAATAGCATACAGAATACTATAATAACCCCCATATACCCATCATGCAGCTTCAATAACAATGTATGACCAATCCTGTTTCATCCTTCTTTTACCTCCCATAGTACACTGCCCCCTGGATTATTCTGAAGCAAGTACTAGACATCACACTATTCCACAGAGTGAACCCTTAAAAGCAGAAAGCAAATTATGTCACCTGTCTGCTCAAAGCCTGCCAATGGCTCCCCCTTAAACTTAGAGTAAAAACTAAAGTTCCAATAAGGGCCCTGGAAGCCCTACACCGGGGGCTGGCAAACTGGCCCACACACCAAGTGCAGCAGCTATCTGTTTTTGTGTGGTCCAAGAGCTAAGAATGGGAGCTTAGGATGTTTTTACATTTTTAAATGATGTAAGAAAGAAAAATAAGAATATTTTGGGGCGCCTGGGTCAGTCAGTCAGTTAAGCATCTGACTTCAGCTCAGGTCATGACCTCGCAGTTTGTGAGTTTGAGCCCCTCAAAGGGCTCTGTGTTGACAGCTAGCTCAGAGCCTGGAACCTGCTTCCGATTCTGTGTCTCCCTCTCTCTCTGCCCCTCCCCCACCCACACTCTGTGTCTCTAATAAGTAAATATTAAAAAATTAAAAAATAATATTTTATGACATGTGAACCAATATGAAACTTAAATTTTAGAGTCCATAATGTTCTACCGAATAAAGCCACGTTCATTTGCTCAAGGATACTCTGTGGCGGTCTTTGTGCTCAAGGCAGAATTGAGGAGTTGTGTCAGAGACCACATGACCTGCAAAGCCTAAAGTGTTTATTAGCTGGCCATTAGAGCCAAAAAAACCGCCTGCCCTTGCCTTAACCAGTCAAGTCCCCATATGATCTCTCTGACAGTCACACACTCCACTCCAGCCTCGTTGGCCTCTTTCCTGCTGCTCAAATAGGCCAGAGGTACCCCCACCTCAGAGCCTCTGTACTGGCTGATCCCTCTGCCTGGAATATTTTTACCCAAAATATCTGCATTGTTTTCTCTCACCTTCAAGTCTTTTCTCAAATAACCTCTATGAGTCTTACTCTGACCACTCTTTTAAACAAACCTGCAACACATGCCCCCTGCCCCACACTCTCCATCTTCCTACCATACCCTGCATTCTTCCTTTCTATAGCACTTACCATTTTCTAATACACGATTTAATGTCTATTTCTTATTCTCTATTTCTCCCAACTCAAATGTGAGTTCCATGGTACAAGGTTCTTTGTTGGCTCACTGAGAAATCCCAAGTTCCTAGAAGAGTGCCTGGCACACAATTAGGCTCTCAAATATTTGCTGAATAAATGTGATTCCTTATAAGAAAATTAAGAGTCTTAATTTGGTGAGATCTTTACACAGCGCAGAACTCTAAACCCCAATAAAAATAAGAACCATTGCCCTGCAGATGAAAAACTGACTCCATGCTGCCAATTACTAACTATTCTAAAAAAACATCCTTTAAAACAGAAAAGATAGTAGAAAAACGCAGGTACCACAATGAAAGTAAACTAAGGGATATAAATTCAAGGTGCTATTATAAAAGGGCTAATAATAATAAGAACATGGAAAATGTATATTAGAAACAAACCTATGGCACTGTTAAGTATGGATATATTTATTCACTAAGCACTAACTAAGCACTGACAGTGGGCAGGCACTCTCCTCTCTGTGCTAGGGGCAAGCCACGGAAGGATGATGAACAACCTGGGCCCCCAAGGGGCTCACGTAGGAGAAACAACCAGGAGAGAACTTAGGAAAACCTAAACAGGCAACGTATTATGGTAGTAGACCCCATGGGAATAGTTTTCCCTTAAGTTTTTTTTTCCCTTTGTAACTGCTGTAGTTAAACAGTTATCAGTAGGAAAAAGTAAAAAAAAGCAGGACAAAGTATCCAATTCTGTCAGGTATAAAAATGAATTTAAAAAATTAAAAGAATCTTTGGTGCCCATATTGCATTCTTTTAAAAAAATTTTTTTAGGGGCGCCTGGGTGGCTCAGTCGGTTAAGCGTTCAACTTCAGCTCAGGTCATGATCTCACGGTTTGTGGGTTTGAGCCCCGTGTCGGGCTGTGCTGACAGCTAGCTCAGAACCTGGAGCCTGTTTCAGATTCTGTATCGCCCTCTCTCTCTGACCCTCCCCTGCTCATGCTATCTCTCTCTCAGAAATAAATAAAACATTAAAAAAATTGAAAAAATTTTTAAACATTTATTCAGTTTTTGAGGGAGGGGTGAGGGAGGGGGGAGAGAGGGGCAGAGAGAAAGGGAGACAGAGAATTGGAAGCAGGCTCCAGGCTCCGAGCTGTCAGCACAGAGCCTGACATGGGGCTCGAACTTACAAACTGTGAGATCATGACCCTCTGGAGCCGAAGGTGGCCGTTTAACTGCCTGAGCCACCCAGGTGTCCCCATATTGTGTTCTTTTTACTTTTTAAATTTTTAAAAATGTTTTATGTATTTGAGAGAGAGAGAGAGCAAGCACATGACAGCGTGAGCAGGAGAGGGGCAGAGAGAAAGAGAGCTACAGAATCTGAAGTAGGCTCCAGGTTCTGAGCTGTCAGCACAGAGCCTGACACGGGGTTCGAACCCAAGAACCATGAGATCATGACCTGAGCCAAAGTCGGATGCTTTAACTGACTGAGCCACCCAGGCGCCTCCATACTGTGTTCTTTAAATGCCATTTCCCAGTAAATGAACCAGGGTTCTTTGGAGGAGTCGCTGATCCCAGGTCTGTAGCAAGAAATCTACAAGATGAGCCAGACAGCAAGAAACTTCACAAAATACCCAGAGGCACTGTCTGTAAGCTGTAACACCATATGGCCCCTTTTCTGTGAAGAAGCTTAGCAGGCAAATCTAACTCCAACCAGCCTGTAGCTCCTATGCAGCGGGCCTGGGGAGTAGAAGGGTCAACCGTTCTGCCATTCCTGGAGGTAACTGGCCGCTCCTAGTCTCATCAACCACCCTCAATTGCTGCTGTTGGGCACACGAGCTACTACTTCTACTGCACGCAGCTGAATTCCTATGCCCCAGATGGCTCAGAAAACTTTACCTGTACTACCATATGCAACATATGCGCCCGTGAACAGGACTTTCAGGCTTATCCTCCAGGATTTATCTATTCAGATGCATCTTTCCCTACCAAAATGAGCTGTACTTAGTCCAGCAACAGCCATTGGTTAAATCATCCTGGACCCCGGGCCTGGCTGTTTTGGAGTTATGGCTTGTTTCCACCCAAGATGGCATCATATAGCTTCAGAACTCACCTAACTCATCAGATCTCACAGCAAAGGATGGAAGTTAACTACCGCTATGAATGAAAAGAATTGGCTGAAGGGTCCAGAGGCAATGTCTAAAAAAAAAAAAATTGCTCCAGAACCGGTGTGTACCGTGGCAGAGCCCTTGTGAGGAGGTGTGAGTGGGGGGCCTCCCAAGTAAACTTTCAGTTAAGAGGCTGCTCTCACCGGGATGGGGAGTCTGGCTGGGTGAGCGGCACCCACCCCGCCATTTCCCTTGGTGACTTACCTGGATGCAAGCCCCTGTTTTCACCTTGCACAGGCTGCACACTAAGGCCCAGCGACTGGGTGGAATGTGGGACACCTTTGTGATTGGTTCCATCCTCTCAGGACAAGCAATGCTCACCTACAAATAAAACACCACCGTAAGGCAGAGGCACCAAGGCATTCCAGAAGTACCTTTCATGAGCTGCAAATGATGTTACGTGAAGCTCAGGCCACCAAAATGGTGAGGTGGGCCACATCTCTTAAGGTTACTGTGGAAGCAAGAATAAATAAAACCTGTCCCTAGCCACTGCTCAGACCGCTGATTGTTTGCAGTAATGTACATGGCTCATGTATAGGATGAGACGGCAGGAGTGGGGACCGGGCATGGTTACCTTAACGAATCCAGGATACCTATCTGTACTTTACTTAGGAACCAAAGAAAGCCACTAAGGAAAGGAATTAAAATCCAGCGCCTATTGTCTGTTAGAGATGGTGCCACATGCCTTGTTTTGTCATTTAATCAACTAAGGATGAAAAACAGGCAGTGACAAGCCTTTCTGTTCAGTTAATGAAGAATCACGATATTGTTGCAAAGTAGCGGCAACGTGTGGAATGAAGAGGTCGCAGCGCGTAAGCAGAGGATGAGGATGATAACGTTTTCAAACCATGGTTTTTAAATCACGTAACCATCATCACTTTGCTCTACCGTCTCAGCCAAAGTAGCTTCAAAGTGAAACTAGTCCCTGGGAGAGTGCTGAAAGAATGCTTGAAAAAAAAAGATGGGAAACATTTTTTTCCATATGAAAATAAGGGGTCAAGCAACTCCTGATTAAAAAGTGTTCTCCCTCTCACTTACAAATGTGTACAGGAGTTTCTAAGAGAGAGACAACTTTTAAAAGTGAAGGACTTTGAATAAGGCTGGTTAAACTAGTACAATTTTGACCCACATCAAGGAACTAACTGTAGAAAGATCACAGAGGTCTTGAGTAGCCCAAAAGGTACTAAAAACAACCATAATAAAGAATGTCAATAGGTAAGAAAGCTGGCTTCCTTCCTTGTTAGCTTCCTTCTTTTCTTTCCTTTCCTTCCTTCCCTGCTTTCCCTCCCTGTTAGAGAGAGAGAGAGAGAGAATGCGAGCAGGGGAGGGGGCAGAGGGAAAAAGAGAACCCCAGGCAGGCCATGCTCAGCGTGGAGCCCAACTCAGGGCTCGATCCCACAATCCTGGGATCATGACCTGAGCTGAAATCAAGATTGGACGCTCAACCGACTGAGCCACCCAGGCGCCTAGCTTCTTTTATTTTTAAAGGACTCTTCCCGAGTCATGTTCTAGACTCTTACATGCCGAGAGTGCCCGCTCTATTAGCTGGAGGCATTTGCTGCTGGAGACCAGTCACTCTCAGGCCAGAAACCTGCGAGTTCATGCCAATCTATGAGCTGGACATTCTTAGTAAGAGAAAGGAACCATTACCCCAATATTTAAAAAAAAAAAAAATACTTATTTCTATATCCGTAAGAATACTGAAACATTTACAGAGGATTTTCAGTTTAACTATGTGAGTCTGAGCTCAATTGTTAGTTAACTCCCCTGGAACTGCCAGGGAAGTTTGTTGGTTTATTTTTTGATTTGATTTTTTTAAAGTTATCTTTACACCCAACGTGGGCCTCGAACTCATAACCTGGAAATCAAGGGTTGCATTCTCGGGGCGCCCGGGTGGCGTAGTTGGTTAAGCGTCCGACTTTCGCTCGGGTCATGATCTCGCGGTTCGTGGGTTCGAGCCCCGCGTCGGGCTCTGTGCTGACTGCCAGCTCAGAGCCTGGAGCCTGTTTCAGTCTGTGACTCCCTCTCTCTCTGACCCTCCCCTGCTCACGCTGTCTCTCTCTCTCCTAGAAATAAATAAAACATTAAAAAAAAAAAAAAAAGGGTTGCATTCTCTACTGACTGGGGCAGCCAAGCGCCAGGAAGTTTTAGGGAAGAACAAATTGCTGATACAGCATCATCAGAGTTCCCATGAATTGAATTCTAAAGTCTGTCTTGTTCAGGGCGCCTGGGTGGCTCACTCGGTTTAAGGGACCAACTTCAGCTCAGGTCATGATCTTCTGGTGGTTCATGGGTTTAAGCCCCGGGTGAGGCTCTGTGCGGACAGCTCAGAGCCTGGAGCTGCTTCAGATTCCACGTCTGCCCTTCTCTCTACCCCTCTCCCGCGCGTGTGCTCACTCTCTCTCAAAATTAAATAAACATTAAAAAAAATGAAAGTCTCTCTCATTCTGCAGTTAAACTGCCTACTGGCTTTGACAGGGGCTGGGGAATGAGGATGTGTGGGATGTTCAAACAGGTTTAAAAAAAAAAACGAGCAGCTATAAGAAGTAAGGAGAAAGGATGTTTGAAAGCCCTGTTTTAATCAATTTAGTGAGCACACAACCCTTAATGAAATATCAGCAATCGAAAGACCAGATTAAATAATTAGGGATGCAGTTCTGAATCAAAAGGCTCATGGTATGTCCATACAATAGAATACTCCTTGGCAACAGAAACAAAGGAGCACTGATCTCCACTATGCCACGGAGTGCTAGGCAGACAGGAAAGAGTGCATACTGTATGGTTCCATTTACGTGAAATTCAAAGATGGACTAATCTACAGAGATAGTGATCAAAATGGTACTAAGGACCCAGAGAGGGACTGGAAAGCAGGCATGAGGGATCCTTCTGGGGTATCTTTGTCTACTTCTGAGGTGTTCCTTGTCTTGGTCTGGATTGTGGTTATAGACAGGTATAAAAATTCATGAAGTTGTACACTTATACTAGGTGTATTTTAAGTAAGTTTCACTTTAAAAAATCTGCTCACAGATTTTTGTGCCTCACTTCTTGTATAAATATCCAATACCACCGGGAGCACCATCTATAAATTAGTTCGCATGGGCTTATTACATGCTCACATGCATCTGGGAAGGATGCGAGGGGGCTCAAGTGGAAGCATTGTCACCTCAGCAGCACCAGCAGGTAAGAAGCATCTCCATGAAGCCGCAGGAGACAGGCGCACCTGGAGCAAATGGGCTCACAAGCCCAGATGAGTCTTACCTCCGGGATCCAGAGGGCACAGCTGACATGAGCCCATTTAGTCCCTGTCCTGGTAGTCTTCATGGCCCCACCTTTCTTTGGACATAACAGACACTGTGGATGAATGCCAAGGACGCAGGAACGACACAGCCAGCTGCCTTCTGGGACCTTGAGGATGCCGTAGCAGGCCTGGAGGCACGAGCAGGAGAGGGGAGAATAGTTAGCCTCTTTTCATGGGGGCCGACGTCTGCACTGGTACACAGTCACAGAGTACTCTTTGCTTCTAGAAGAAAGAGGCAATAAGGCCCAAAAAGCTCGTATCCAGGATTCAGTAATTTTAAAATACTTAAAAAGAAAAGGCACCTTCCAGCATCTAAGATGTCTATGAGAAATGACTTTAAGGACAACAGAATAAGACTAGAAGAAAATACATACAAAGGCTGGCCCAACTGTTATCTGAGTTTGGGGATTACATCTTTTCTTTCCTGTCTCTGTTTTCTAAAGCTTCTTTGGCGATTATGTATTATAGTCATATACTTATCAAATAACTTCTACATGTCATGTACTGTTGTAATCAAGAAAAAAAGTTAAAAAAAAGAAACAGAACGGAACTTCTGTGGAGCAAATGAGCTAATGCTTAAAGAGCCTAACAGAGACTGATTCACAAAAAGCACTCAGCAAATGACAGCAATTACTTGCTTGGGTTGAAGAAAAAGGGGACTTGTGAATGAATCCTGAACTGAATAGAGTAGTAGACTAATCACAATACTACTCAATCACAATACTGCTCTACTCTCACCACTCAAGTCGAAACCTGGGGGCCTCCTGGCTCCCCACGTGGCCTGGCCAACCTTCCACTGCTGACTGACTCACCATAATGGCTTCCGAATCTGTGCCTACCCCAGGAGGTTCACGTTCACCTGCAGCTAGGATTCAGGTTCCAACAGTCACTATCATGTTACCCCTCCACTGGCTCTTCTCTCAAACTCTCTCTAGCCAGCTTCCAGAGCCAAAAGTCCTGGACTCATATGCTTCTACTTCCTTTCATCCACTGTCCCTGGGGCACACCAGTCCTCTCTACAGAGTGGCCCTTAGGCTCTGACCTTCCTCGCCGTCCCCACCACAACTGCTCCACCCAAGTCCTTATCATGCTATGCCTGAATTGATTTATTCCCAAATTCCCTTCCACTCCCTTCACACCCTCAATCCTTCTTCTATTTGGCTGCCATATTCTTCTTACTAAAACAAAGATTTCATACCATCACACAGCAACAAACCTTCTAGAAATTCCTTCTGTTCTCACCCCCACTGTCATCTAAACTATGGATTGGCAAACTACTACTTGAGGCCTGTTTTGTTAAGGCCAACAAGCTAAGAATGGTTTTCGTATTTTTAGAGCAGTGTTGTTTTTCGTTTCTTTTTTTTAAAGAATATGTAACAGAGACTGTATGTGGCCCTCAAAGTCTAGAATATTCACCATATGGCCCTTCAAAGAAAAAGTTTGCCGGCCTCTGATCTAAAGCCAGATGCTCCTCACCTCACTTCCCAGGTCATAGAGCCCCTCGTGTCTTCTCTGCTACTTGACCCTTGCCCTCTACCCTACATGGTTTCCCTCACCAAGTACATGGTTGGCATCATGTGTTCTTCCCTATTTAGCTGTTATGTTTCATCTCCTCAGTGAATCTGTAAGGTCACTGGGGGGTGGGTAGGTCTTTTATCATCATTTTATCTGGAATGCTTTCTATGTGGAGATCGAATAGGTGGTTTGGTAGAACAAATTAATTTAGGTCAAAAGCTGAGTCTGAAATCCAACCAGGCTGGTCTTATGACAGCAGGGCATCATTTTATAAGGTTCTTAACCTTCAGAGCTTTTCTTTCTCTGAAGTCCAGAATGTTGGCTAGGAAATGAAAGCAAGTCTCCTCCCTACAAGGGAGCCTCTTTCGGGCCAGCAGAAGAAAAACCAGTGGTTCTAGGTATCCCGTTGATCTCCTGGTCCTTTTATTGGGCAGAAAATCATTTACTGAGCCCTTGTATACACTTATTCATGGTCACAGAATCATAGAAGCTTGTATTTCATAGCAGTGGCTCTCAAGCTTTTCTAGACCACAAAATGATGAAGGGTGGCTTCTCCTCAGAAAACTGCACACATGCAGACATATGTTTTACATATAATTTCAGGGGGTTAATAAACTCAGTGCCAAATGTATATATGACAAATATAAAAACTATGAGCATAAACTTCAGGCAAATTAATTTAGGGCTTGGTTTGAGTGTTCAATACCTGGGCTAAAACCCAAAAAACGGAACATACAAACTTTGTATGGGGCTTGGAATGGTCCCGATGTTCCCATTTTTAAAGTTAAAATCTCAAGTTTAACGATGTAAACCTCTCTTCTAAAGTACTGACACAAGTGTATTGTAGTCACAGAGGAGCAAACATTTGTCATAATATGGTAGCTGTAAAGAAGAAAAATTATGTTTAATAAACACAGATGTCAACATGTCCCTGATCCTATTAAGGAGTAAACCAAATACTCCCAATCATTTTAAGTCACTTTTCAGTCAACAGAGGGAGCTCTAACATCAGTTCTCTTCAGAATTCAAGTAAACATACTCACTTTGGAAGAATCTCTTTTATATGAAACTTTACGTGGCACCACATTCAGCTTTAATACGTACCAGCTTATATCCTGCAAGGCCTGGCCAGGTGTTACTGTCATCACTTTCTACGTGAGGCAAGGGCATCACTTATAGTCATTACTGTACATATTTTCAAAACATATGAAATAATCTTTGAGGAGATTATGTAGCCTTATTAGGCTATATTCCGTTTTTTAGTCAAAGAATCTGAAAATAATTCCTCAGTATTTGTCCCAACTGTGAAGGATTAATACAGAAAGTAAATACAGATGACCTTTGTACTATTTTCCCTTCAAGCCTACTACAGATCCACAATCATTTATCTGAAAACCTTTGGGTGAGAAACATCAGGAAATTCAGAACTGGTCAAATCTTAGTAAAGTAGTAAGTTCATACATGGCATATGACCTAACTCCCAGTGGGACCAGGGGCAGTGCTGTATTCTCAAGTACATTAATATTTCTCTAGCAAACTGTATGAGCATAATGTATGCAAAGTGGGATAAAGAGTATAAACAGCCTGATAATTGGGAGGGTTCTAGTATTGCCCCAAATCAGTACTGGTACTAAGCTTAAGCAAAACCTAGCAGTTGTCAGAGCTTTTAAAATTTTTGGAACTATAGAGGAAAGACCGTGGGCCTGTACTACCAGATACTTATGTTCATACTTAAACGACACTTCCTCTCTCACTAAAGGTGTGATATAAATGCCAATAACTGGTAGAGTGAAGATAAATTTCTGAAATGAACTCTTTTCAAGGAAACAAGTAAAATGAAGAAAAAGACCCAACTGAGTCACAGAATAATTCTGAGTACCTTCTAATGTAGAGGGTTAGGTTAGGTGGCCCAGGCAATTAAACTCTTAAGCCCTGGTTTTTCTTGATTTCCTGTGTTACCTAATCTACCTACCTACCTACCTTTCTTCCTTCCTTCCTTTTTATTTTAAGCAATCTCTACGCCCAACATGGAGCCTGAACCCATGACCCCGAGATCAAGAGTCACATGCTCTACCAACTGAGCTGGCCAGGCATCTCACTGTGTTACTTACTCTTTTTAGTCATTTTGTAGCCCGAGTAATCTTTCTAAAATACAACTCCTAGCTTTCAGGGTTGATGGGACAAAACCAAAGTTCCTTAGTTCGTCGGCAAGGGCTGTCCCTCGTGGCCCTTGTATCCCTCTGCGCTCTCGCTCTCCATCCCCCCTACTCCACCCCACCACCTTCTGCACCTCTGAATGTCCCAGAGTTGCCTCTGATATACTTTGCCCACTCCCACTACCCTGCCTGAATGTGTTCTCCTCTCTGCCTGAACGTGCACTGCTGTTTCATGTGGCATTTAGATTCAGCTTGGATGCCACTTCTTGGAAGGTGTCCCTGATCTCCACCCCTCCCATGCCCTTACACAGGAGCATGGACTTCTGTCTACAAAAACACCTGGCATACTGTGCTAAACGGGCAGTTTCCATGTAGCCCCTACACCAGACTCTGATCACCCTGGGAGCAAAGGCCATGTCTGCCTCTTCACCACTGACTGGGTCTTCAGCATGTGGCACAAGTCCTGGCACATGGATGGTGCTGCATACCTATTTGCTAGATAAATTAATGAAATCAATGAAATACACAACAGGTTCAGAAGAGTGAAAGATCACTTAGGGTAGGGGTGTTCAAGAAAAGACTTAAACTAGATCTTGGAAGATACATAGCATTTTCACAGATGGAGGTGGGAGGAAGCATTTTAAATTGGGGCGTGGCTGAAACATGGAGACAGGACAGTGTCAGGAATAGTCATCACTGCCTCAAGTAACCTTACTTTGCTGGAGCATAGTGCTTATGGGAAGAAAAGGAAAGAGCTGAAAAGATTGTTGCTATCATCATCATCGTCATCATCAATAATTCATTAAAAAGGCATTATGGTAGAAGGATGACAAACAACTGTCAACCAGCTGTAAGAGCTTGGGTAAAGTCATTTCATCTCTTCTGGTATCATCTTTAAAGTTGAGGAGTGGGCCAGTTTTTTACAGTCCTAAAATTCTATGATCTTTAGAAGTGTACTGGACTCAGCTTCCCAGGAGTTCTATATCAGGAGGACTGGAGAAGGAAGGCCCTGGGGGCTAGCAAAAAGAGTCCATACTTCTAGCTGTAGGAAGTATAAACTCATTGAGGTTACTGACCAGGGAACCAAATGGTGTCACAGGGATTCCAAGGCAGAGGAGACTCCCGGGGAAGCAGCAGCAAGGAGACTCCCCAGGGGACTGGAAAAGTATCGAACAAGGCATCTCAACGGCATTGGTATGAAGGCACACAATAAAGATCTGGGTTTAGCCCCCTGGGTGAAGTTAGTAAGTCAGTTACCTTGGGGATCGTAAGTATTGTTTCTAAAGGAATTACTGAAGAACAACCAGGCCAAATCTTGGTCTTCCCCCTTAAATGCCAAGCCACTACCCAGATATGGGTGCTGGAGGCTATCAGTGAGCTTCTGAAAGGCTGACTGTGGGGGTGGGGGTGGGGCGCGCCGTGGTCTCCACCCTCACTAACCTGGTGCACGCAGACGTTACACTTGTCACAGAACACCATGTCATTCCCTTCTTCACTGTCTGGGGACCGGCACACATCACAGATCACATCTTCATCGTACTCTATGCCCAGCCCTTCCTCTGTCTCAATGGCGTGGTTCATGTTTTCATGGCAATGGCGTTCCAGGGCTTCTATTGTCTTTTCCATAGTATTCTCATCAACTGGCCCACAACCTGCACAGAGATACAAACAATCAATCAGCCTGCCAGTCAGCTGTCACTCCCAAATCACCTACTGTGAGCCCGGTGCAAGGATGGAGGGATTCTAAAAGATAAAACCATCTCTTCCCTGATCTAAAAACAACCAGATTTCAAAGAATCTTTTCACTAGAGCTGTTCTAATATTTACCTGTCAACACATATTAGTGTTTGACAAATGAAAGGAGGAATACATTTCACCACATTCCTTGTAAGATGTACTATCGACTCTTTCAATTTTCTGTCTACATCCTGACCAGTCTCCTAAATCTGTTTTCTTTTATTCCCACTGAGGGAGAACTTTTTTACTGAGCTTTGTAATTCTGAACAGTTCAATTTACAGCATAATAAGACAGTTAGGATCACACAGCTATTTGGACATAAATAATAATTCTCAGTAAATGAGTCTCATCTAATGATTAATGAGGAAGTTTTCATATAAAACGGTATGCAGTCATAAAAGAAAATTCTAGGTGCTGTAAATGTCATTATACATATGAAGCATTGTTTTTCAAGCCTTTTAAAAATATCTAATAATATCTTCCAATGGCAAACTATATATAAAAAATAAACCTATTAGCATCCAAAGGTCTAGCTGTAAATTCTGAAATTCTTTTTTTTTTTTTTTTTTTTTTTTTTTTTTTTTTTTTTTTTTTTTTTTTTTTTTTTTTTTTTTTTTTTTTTTTTTTTTTAGTATACCCAACTAGAAGATTCACATGGTGGATGGATAGTGGCAACAGCGAAACATATTTCTTTCTGGGGGACTAAGGAAATTGTGCGAGCACNCCTTTTAAAAATATCTAATAATATCTTCCAATGGCAAACTATATATAAAAAATAAACCTATTAGCATCCAAAGGTCTAGCTGTAAATTCTGAAATTTTTTTTTTTTTTTTTTTTTTTTGCCTCTTGACTCCTTTTCCTTCTATACTTTTAATTTTTTTTTTTAGTCTTCCCAACTTAGTATACCCAACTAGAAGATTCACATGGTGGATGGATAGTGGCAACAGCGAAACATATTTCTTTCTGGGGGACTAAGGAAATTGTGCGAGCACGCGTACACACACACACAGACACATACACACACACACACACACACGTATATGTTTTATATATATATTTTTTATACATGTAAAATATATATATATATTTTTACAAATAGTTTATTGTCAAATTGGTTTCCATATAACACCCAGTTCTCATCCCCACAAGTGCCCTCCTCCATGCCCATCTCCCCTCCCCCCCCTACATCCATCAGTCCTCAGTTTGTTTCTCAGCATTCAAGAGTCTCTCATGGTTTGCCTCTCTCCGTTTCCCCCACCATTTCCCCCCTTCTCCCCCCGCCATGGTCCTCAGTTAAGTTCCTCCTAATCCTCCTATACGGAGCACATATATATTTAACAGCTTGTCAACTCAGGAACAATTCTGACAATGATTCCAAACAAATTTACCCAAGTATTCCACTTCATTTGTAATAGAAGATATACTAAGAAACTCTGGAATTCCATATAAACAACCTTTTTAGTGTCGCAGCTACTTATGAAAGCAAACACCACCCAGGTAGTAGGTTTCATTTTTCCAGCCAAGACAAATCAGACATTTTTACCCTGGAGTGGAGGAGGGTATTCCACTTGACCCCGTATTGGTTACATAAACTTTGACAAGTTATTTATCCTCTTCAGGGCTTGGTTTCCTTATCTATAAAATAAGGACCACAATACGAACTCACGGATTTCTCGTGAGGCTGAGATGAGGTAATGTTTGTACACTGCTTAGGACAGTGCCTGGTATGTAGTAAGCACTCAATTTTTAACATTCCTTTAATCTGAACCAAAAATATGCTTAATTTAGTGTTGTTTTTAAAAGTCTATTTTAAGCTTTTAGAAGCCTTGCTACAGTATCATTTACTCTAAAGAGTAAAACTTGAGATAAGGTCAATCCTCTTTTAAAATTCTTCCAAGACTAAATGCAATGTGGTGTCTTGGATGGGATCCTGGAACAGAAAAAGGCCATGAGTGGAAAAATTGATGAAACCCTAGTAAAGTCTAGAATTCAGTTAATAGTAATGTACCTGTACTGGCTCCTTAGCTTTGACAAATGTACTGTGGTCAAGTGAAGCGTTATTAACTAACAGGGGAATCTGAAACTGTGTGAGAGGCATGCCACATCTGTGCCACTTTCCTGTAAATCTAAAACTATTCTAAAATAAAAAACGGTCATTAAAAAAAATCATCCAAAGGGGATTATATAACTGCAAAATACCAAAGGGACCTTGTCATCAGGTAGTGTCATGTTGAAGGCAGGCCTGTAATGATCATAACGTATATGGACGTCATACAGTTCCTAAGCTCAACTGCACCCTGAGCCATCAAGCCGCTGGATTAAGCTCTCATACTCTGACTTTCCCTCGTCAGTCTTTCATTCTCTTCCTTTTGTGGTTCTCACCCTAAACTGACACCCGTTCTCTCCTTTTAGAAGGCAGAGCAAGAGAAGACATACAATAAAAAGTTTTAAAAAGCAAGCAGTACTGGTTACTGACAGAATAACTGCCACCGTCTGCCAAACTGGATTTAATATGATTTTAAGTTTGTATTCACATGCATTCAGATGCCAACCTCAAAAAATTTTTTTATAAAAAGGAGGGAGGGAAGGAAAGGAAAACCACTGATCCTTGCTGGACTAACAATGACCAAATGTGATTCAAGCAAAAATGCAATCAAATGAATGCTTCACCATATCGCCTACGTAGACTTAAGTGAAACCACGCACAGGGTTCCGTAGGGCCATGTGGACCTACGCACCACTCAGCCTGAAGACTGCTCCAAGAGCTGCGTATGAGAATAAAGCGAGTTTTTGGTCAGCCGAGCATTTCCCAGCACTGCCGGAGTGGGACTGCTCGGCATCCCATTACTTTAAAACTAGTATTATGTTTACCTCCAAGGTTTTCTTTTTGTTTGTTTGCTTGCCTTTGCTTAACTGAATTTTATTTTCGGAGAACTGCATGACAACTGCAGAACTCGTTAAAGGTGGTGAGAAAGCTAAGAACTGCCTTGGGGATGTTTTGCCCTAGAGCTGCCATTCTCCTTCGAGCAGGAAGTGACAAGCCTGGCATTCAGGCATGCTGGACACAGTGGGCTGTCAGGTGCAGTGCTGCTGCCTAATGCTGAGGTCGGAGCCTCTCTCCATCCAGCAGAGATGGCAGAGGTGCTGCCTCTGGCCCTGCCCACTGATCCGAGTGCTTTTCAGGGCAGGGCCAGGAACCAGCCTCAGAATCCTCAACTAGGAGTCCAATTAGCCATGAGCACTCTCACCATCAGAACTGGAAAACCATCTTCTGAAACCTACGTGGCATCCCTGATCTGTCCAATTCACCACGAACAAGGAAAGAAAAGGTCAGATTTAAATGTTATTGTTCCATTTCAGTATATTTATGCATTTCAAGAAATGCCTCATTAAGGTAAGATCAAGGAGAAAAATAAATGAAAAGGCCAGAAAAGAAAAGAAGCCACAAGATGAAAGCAAGTTAAATGGTCCTGACAATTAAAAAAAAAAAATCACGAGGGGCGCCTGGGTGGCTTGGTCGGTTGGGCGTCCGACTTTCGCTTGGGTCATGATCTCGCGGTTCGTGGGTTCGAGCCCCGCGTCGGGCTCTCTGCTGGCTGCCAGCTCAGAGCCTGGAGCCTGTTTCGGATTCTGTGTCTCCCTCTATCTCTGACCCCCCCTGCTCACGCTGTCTCTCTCTCTCTCTCCTAGAAATAAATAAAAAACGTTTAAAAAAAAAATCACGAGTCAAGTAAGGAATAACTTAGTTGTGAGAAAAGAACTTACCCATCTCTGCGAGGTCTTCATTGAGTTCCTGGAGCCAGAAGATGTCCATGTCGTCTAGGTCATAGCGACACACAGATGCCGCCAACTCTGTGATGTTGATGTAGCCAGGTTCTGTGGTTTCTGAGCTGGAGCAGTGGATGTACTTCCGGGGCCGCATAAACAGCACATCCTTTACTTTCTCAGCTACAATCCTACAAAAGTGAAAGAAACGTACTGATTACAGTTGACAAAGGACAGGTTCTAGGCACTGATTGGGTGGGACCAGCTGCACTCAGGCTACACAGTGGCACTGAATGCTCTCCCTTTCCACCACAGGAAGGGATCCCTTGCTCTGCCAACTGAGACGTACGACAGATCCCTTTCTAGAAAGCAAATGGTCCTACAAATTCAGTTTTGTCATCGGCTGTGAACATTCTGACTGCTAATGAAATATTTCACTTACCCTCATCACTCCTGGGTCTGTATTATCATTCATTCTAATAAAATGTTGCACTGTGTGTTCTTGGTGCAATAGCTACCATGTTTGTTTAGAAGGGGAAACTGAGGAAGTGGTGATACTTGCACAAAAGCAGAGCAGATTCCATACCAAAGATATATTTCAGCCAAAGTCATGATGTCATGATTTTTTGCCATGGAGGCAATACTGGATGGTGGTAAAGAGTACAGAGTGGAGACTGGGGCGCCTGGGTGGCTTAGTTGGTTAAGCGTCCAACTCTTGATTTTGTCTCAGGTCACGATCTCACGATTTGTGAGATTGAGCCCTGCATCAATCAGTACAGAGCCTGCTTAGGATTCTCTCTCCCTCCCCTCTGCCCCTTCCCTCCCACCTCTCTCTCAAAATAAACAAACTTAAAAAAAAAAGAGTACAGGCTACAGACTCACACAAACCTGTTTTTTTTGACACTTACTCACATAGTGATCTTGGGGAACTACTTCATTTCTTTAAAAAAATTTTTTTAAATGTTTTTATTTATTTCTGAGAGAGAGAGAGAGAGAGAGAGAGAGAGAGAGAGAGAGACAGCGTGAGCAGAGGAGGGTCAGAGAGAGAGGGAGTCACAGACTGAAACAGGCTCCAGGCTCCGAGCTGGCAGTCAGCACAGAGCCCGACGCGGGGCTCGAACCCACGAACCGCGAGATCATGACCTAAGCGAAAGTCAGACGCTCAACCGACTAAGCCACCCAGGCGCCCCCCTGGCACTTTTAAAAAAGAGTGGGCCTGCTAAAAAAGAGAGAGAGAAAGAAATATGTATATATATAAAATAATGAAAACTGTTTCTCTGGAAGGCCCGTGGAGCCAGTTTCTTAAGAGTCACTATATATGTGGAAAGATTCATAAACATAAATGTATACATATAAATACATATAAGTATATACAGGCATAGTCTGCCTTGTAAACACATGATAAGTATTTCTTCCTAAGCACTCTTCCACAAGGTTATGATTCCACATATTGTATGTTGAATAAAGTTAATAACTACATGCATTTGCACATTTTAATTTTTCTACTATATGGAGTTTTCAAAGCCAAAGGTGACAAGTATTTGAGGAAAAAAGCAGAACCCTTAAAATATTAATTGAAGCTAAAAATTTGGGAACTGACAGAGGCCTGCTTCCAACTGAAATGAAGTCAACTGAAAAGGACAAGATGTGCATATGAATTCTCCTGAGACAATGAGATTAAATATGCTACGCGTATTTGGTGCATGGCCTATGAGGTAATTATAGAATATCTAATTTTTTTCAAGATTCATCTTGTTCTAAAAAGAGTATTTTGCTAACTATTCATATCAATTGCTTCAAATTCTATGTGGAACAAGGTAGACTATAAATGTTCTTGAATTAAACCAATATGTTAAAAAAAATTAGTATGTTTATTAAGCTTCTGGAAGAAGCCTCAGACTATATATGTATATAGTCTGGTACATGAACTATATATGGTATACAGAATTGGTACAGCCACTTTGGTAAACTACTTGGCAGTTTATACACATACACACTATATATATATTTTATACATACATACATACATACATACATAAAGTTTATTTACAGTAATCTCTACACCCAATGTGGGGCTTTAAACTCATGACCATTAGATCAAGACTTGCAACATCCTTTGACTGAGCCAGCCAGGTGCCCTGAAGGCAAATATATTTTATTTGTTATTTATTTAAAGAAACTGGATGTTCTTTTGGCTCAGGTCATGATCTCACAGTTTGTGGGATCAAGCCCTGCGCTGGGCTCTGTGCTGATAGTGTGGAGCCTGCTTGGGATTCTCTCTCTCCCTCTCTCTCTAAATGAATGAATGAATGAATGAAAACAAAAGAAAGCCATCAGCCATAAAGGAAGAGATGAAAAAACCTTCTGTTTATCACCAATATATAATAAGCTCTTACAAACAATTAGAAAAAGACAGACAAGTGGACCAGAAACTTGAATAGACACTTCGCCAATAAGGCTATCCGTATGGGAAGAAAACTTTTTAAAGGTTTTCAGCCTCATTACTTATCAGAGAAATGAAGATTGAAATCATAATTACTATTACCTACCAGAATGGCTAAACTGGGAAAAACTGCCCCAAAACTGACAGTACTTAAGCGCTCGTAAGGAAGCAGAGCCAACAGACCTCTCTTACACCGCCAGTGGGGCTGTGACTTGGCGCAACCACTTTGGCAAACCACTTGGCAGCAGATATCCTAGCTGAACACCACGCCCTAGGACCCGGTAAGCCCACTCTGACTATACTTAACAAAACAGTAGACATATGTATACCCAAGAAGAAATAAAGATGTCTATACTAGCAGAAAACTGGAATTGATCCAAATACCTATCAAGATCAGAATGGATAAGTAAAATGTGGAATATTCACAAAATGGGCTATGACACAGAAGTGAAGCTTAATAAACTAGTACACAGAACAGCATGGATAAATCTCACACCGTCATGATGAACAAAACAATCTAGCCTCAGTATGAAGTGCAAAATCTGGTAAAACTGTCACCTATGGAGACAGAGGTCAGTTACTGGGCAGGAGCAGGAGGGCTTCTGGGGTGTTGGTCATGTTCCATTTCTCGATCTGAGTGGCAGTTAAACAAGCGTACTTATTCATGACAATTCACCGAGTTACAGAGTTAGGCTCCAGTCACTTCTCCGTGTGCGCATTATACTTCAATGCAAAATTTAGAATGATCCTGATGACCGTGACGTTATGTCACACATCTTTTCATATGTAACTTGAACTAAAGGTCTGACTCTAAGGACTGGATCTATGACAGTAAACATATTATAGACTGAAACGGTTATACTATAGGCAAGGAAACGCATCGGTAAATGTGAAGTTTTTCAAATCTCACAAGGAGAGGTTTGTGTAGAGGGGAAGGTCTATGAGAATTAGTGCAAAATATTAGTTTGAGATTTTTAAAATGCAGCGTTAACATCTTCAAGTACATACAACACTGCTACAGCTGGGAGAAATTCCAGGATTATCCCTGGCTCATTTCCTTCTCTGGGCAATGTATCCAAGGTATAGCGACATTCTCCGAATGGTGACCAGAACAACCGATCAAACCGGCAAAAGCTCCTCGGCCCAGACGTACGAGCAATTTAGCTAGGATGATGTTGAAGGAGTGCAGTTTTTGATTTGGATGCTCTGAGTGTTATAACAACATTTGGGGCGACTGATCTTTGGTGAAAGGACTCACAATCTCACCTGCTTAGCTCCACAGAAAAAAGGCCTATTCAGCAGCTCCTCAGGGCAGGCCAGCTACCTCTGGCTAGTGCGAACACTGCTGTTCGACACTGAGGAAGCAACAAAAGAAAGCTGACACCACTCTAACCTGACCTATGGCCTCCTCCTGTATCTTAGGCCCAGTGAATCCTAGTGTGTCTTCGGCTGATCTAAATATTTGGTGGGTAGATGCCATGCTTCATTTCCTAAAGAGTCGATTGGGATCATTGGTGAACAGCATAGAAATTGGACGAATACTGTGTCATTATGGATTTTTAAAGGCTTGAAAGAAATGTCTTAAGAGTTACCTAAACAGGAACCCCTTTATAATAGTGCCTCTAGGAATAGTTTCCCAAATTTCCCCTGGTTAATCTGGACACTCAGGGCTGACTGCCTCTCTATGAAACCCTATGCCTCCCTCAACTATAAAACAAAAGACAATCATAACCTGTGTGACAGCTGGTATTTTCAAAATCTCACATGCTCTTTTACAATGTGACTTTGCTACACTTCCCCTCCTCTTCAATCAGGGAGGGCTATGACTGTTTCCACCAACAGAATATGGCAGAAGTGATGCTGTAACAAGTGCAAGGCTGGGTTGTAAAAGGGAATACAGCTTTCACCTTTTTAGCTGGAACACGTGCAGGTGCCCGAGGCTTGTAGGAAGTCTGCCTGTGCTGAGACTTTTGTGCTGTGAGGAAACCAAAACGCATGGAGAAGCCATGTCCTGTAGATGTCATCCCAGCCGAAGCAACAGACATGTTAGTGAATAAGCCTTCAGATGATTCTAGCCCCCAGATGCTGAGTCACCCCCAAATTTCAAGTCTTTCTGGATGAGGCCGTAGATATCACAGAGCAGAGACAAGCCATCACCACTCTGCCCATCAGAATTCGTGGCCCCCAGAATCCATGAGTATAACATAGCTGCTTGAAGCTGCTAAGTCTGGGGGCAATAGTAAATGGGAAAACCACCGGAGGGCTGCTTTAAACTTTAAGACATGTGTATGCAAGTGCTCTCTACATCGTGCTTCTGACTGAGTGCCATAATTGGAAGCAAGAATGGTAGACTGCTGCCGCATGAAATGGAACAGGAAAGGAAGTGTGGGGACAGGGAGGCAAGAACAGGGGAAGTGAGAGAGGCATGATGATGAAATGGAGCAGTGGAGCGGGAGGCGGGCTTGGGCTACCATTTATCATCAGGGCCATTCTTCATTTGACTTACCATATGGAATCTGAGTATCTTTTGAAAGTAGAGCCAAGAAGATCTCCTCTAATATTGAATATGGGGGATGAGGCAAAGAAGAATCAAAGACGACTCCAAGAATTTTGGCCCGAAAGACTGAAAAGACTCTTAGGGCACAAAGAATGGATCTGCCATCAGTTAAACACGGGAAACTATAGGTGGAACTAGTTTGGGAAGAAGATCAATAGTTCAGTTTGGGACACTTGAAGTCTCAGATGCCT